TAAAACATAATATACAACAAGGTTATGCAATCAGATCTTATCCGTGAATTAGTCAACAAATGTTAAACCAACATTTTCTCAATTTCAGCTTTTAAATTGGTCAAAATCAAATGAATTGGTTAGATCAAATCGGACTTCTTGAATGAGTTGAATTGGGCATTATTGTTTCAAATGAATCTTATCGCCCTTGTTATTAAGGCGTTATTGTTTTGACCTGGCTCATTCCTTATCTCGCTGTTTCCCCATATCTCGGCAGATTATCTTCATTGTTCATATAAAATTGAAGACACATCCAAATAAGTTCCTCTCCATCTGTGATTATCACCTAAACCTCCACCGTCCAGCAATAAGAAGTCGTTTTTGCGTTTGGTTCATCAGGTCTATTTATTTACCGATTTTGTATTTTTTTGTTTAGGGCAAACTAATTTCTGAAAGAAAGTTAATCGCACCCGTCGCTTGGCGCGGGTAAACGGCTAGTATATATATATATATATATATATATATATATATATATATATATATATATATATATATATATATATATATATATATATAGTTGTTACTGAAAACTAAGCATTAAATGAAAATAATGAAAATATTATTATGTAGGAGCCATGTTGGTTGCACTAAACACTTATGCAAAAAAAGATGTTTCATAAGAGATTGAAAAAATCTTTTACGTGGGAGGAAACACACATCTGCAACAATATTTTTGGTGTACAAGATTCTACTAGGAGTAGTTTAATAGATATCGACCACATTAGTTGTACATGTTGGAAATAGTGAAAAAGCGGTATACCATAACGGCATGCAATTGTGGCATGGTGATGGTTAAACGTGATGTGTAATAGTCGCACAAAGTGTCAAGTTTACGTGTATTTTACAGTATATCAAGTTGCATACAAAACATGCATATAGTGCATCCTCTAGCCAATCTAAATGAGGGAGTAATACCAACAAAAGATCATTTACCCCCTACAATTAAGAATCAAGTAATGGTTGGATTTTTCATTTACATGAACATGTATTTGTTTTTATGAATTCAATTACAATGTTATTTTATATCCACTAGCTTGTAAAATTAAAGCATACATATTAAATTAAAGGGACATATGAATAGCTTGAAAACCAAGAAACATCATCGTCAGTTGTGCTATGGAGGCAATAACAATGACTGGAATTTGTTGGTGACTTCTAATCCACAATGATCTGCCACCACTAATCTGATTGGGGTTTACAACTTCACCGCTACTGCTACTTGAGTTGGAGGAGACTTCTACAATTGAAAAACCTAACAACATATTGATCAACAACATAATTTAATATTTTATTGTCTATGTCTATCAAAATAGAATTTATTCATTTGTTTTATAGATAAACTCACAGTCATAGTCTGCCCATCCGATCTGTTGAGCATCCAAATCGTAAACAATAAACTTGTTTTTAAGAACAAGGTCTGATCAATAACCGAGTGAAAAAATTAAAAATAAAATAAAAGCAAAGTCAATTATAGGGTTTTTATGTTCCATTATTATAATACATACCTCCTAAAATAGTAATTCCTTTCTCGGGACTCATCTGAAAGCCCATGCACCACACCTCAGCCCCACTCTATTATATTGCATGAATCATATCAAGATTCAAGTAAAAATATACGTTAATTAGGCTGTATCTTTTACACAAGCTATCTAGGACTATTTTTGTACCAACGATATAGGTCCCAACCCCCGTAACATCAAATACAATACAACTAGTTTTGCTTTATCTTGTCCAAATTATCAAATGCGAACTTAACATAAGGCTACATAACATACCTTGGAGCTTTGGAGAGAAAGGTAGTCTTGAGGTCTTAAATGCATTGAAGCACCCCCGACAAAGTTCAAACTTACGATGGGAAATATATTAGAGACACTGAAATAATAATAAAATCTAATTATTAAAATAATAAAAGCACGTATCATATCGAATGATACAACAAAGGATGAACACTCGTTTAGTCTCAAAAGCTAGATTTGAAATTTAAGGGTATATATATATATATATATATATATATATATTATATATATATATATATATATATATATATATATATATATATATATATATATATATATATATATATATATATATATATATATATATGACAATTTGTAGTATTTGAAGTCTAAAACCGGTTTAAAGAACTAAAGATGGACTGATGGACATTTAACTAGTAAGGACAAAAAAGGGAGGAATATAAGTGCTAATTTAACTGCAATAAGTTTTTAAGGTTCTAAACCTGGAAGTAATTGAATAACAAGGATTTCCATTTGATGTACGTTGTTGTACGGACAACGAAACCGACTTTGTGATCTGCACCAACAGAAGTAATACCTCAATGATGACACATTAAGAAATAAAAATATAATTTTATAATGTTTTGCTGATAGAAATTTTCGATTGTACTTACAGCATCTACAAAAGGGGTGTAAGCCTCTTCAGTAAGGTATGCCAGAGTTGTTCCCGAATCAATTATTGTTCCAGCTTTATCATTATTTATTGCAAATACTGATGGATCAATGGATAATTTTTTACCATTGATCAAAATACTATGCAAATGTGTACTATAATACCCCCTGCAAACATACATCGAATGAAATTAGAGATAGTTGGTGTTTCTTTTGACTTAATGAACTCAATGGTAAAATATATATATATATATATATATATATATATATATATATATATATATATATATATATATATATATATATATATATATATAAAGGTTTTATTTTAAATTAATACAGAAAGAAAACTTACTGTGATTTGACAAGTGGAGTAAAAATGATATGTGGCACCGTTGGCTGACCTATAACCAAAATCCCACCTCCATCAGCAAGACAATGTGCGAATGAATTTGGAGCAATCCCTTGCGAAGAAAGTTGGGATATGACAGATAAACCTTGTCGCCCCAATCCCAAAACCCCATCAACTGCTCCATCAGATGTAGCTAAGATCCCAGTTTCCATTGTGCTACACCTGTTGCATAATTCAATAAATCAACGATCTTATTTAAGAGAGTGAAATGATTGGGTAACTCCGAAAAAAAAAGGAAGCAAAGGGGAAGTATACAAAAAAAAAAAATTGATAACTTACCCAAATACCACAGAAGCGGAAACATTTAATGATTTTGTATCTGTAAGAAATATCTCTAAATGAATTAAGTCAGATACATAATGACCTAATGTTGCACTACCGTCTCCATAGTAAATTGTGTAAGTGCACTGATTATGTGAACATGAGCTGGAATTATAAGTTTGACCCGCTAGAGAACATATTTTGTTTGAACATGAGATAGGAGAAGATGTTGATGAGCTTGAAGGGTCATACAATGTAATAGGAATCTGTTGAACAAGAAAAAATCATTTACATAGTAGTTAGTTCACAAAAGTCACACCTTACAAAAAAAAGAAATTATAAGAAATGAACATACATTAAACTTGCTTGATGTAGGGCAATCAATGCAAGGCTTGCAACCGACCCATAATACATCACTTCCTGTGTCAATTTGTACATAATAATCTTTTGGAGGAGATCCCAATTTGATTTTTGTGAAATACAACCTACAAGATAACAAATTAGAGTATATCAATGATCCTGACTCACGATTCACTATCCTTAAGATGTTAGATTAAGAGAAAACATTTAGTAAAAGATTGTTCTCTTAAAGAAATTTTAGAGCACAAGCAATTAAAGAGATAATCTTTTCCGTTTTGGGGGTCGATTTGAAGGTATTTTCATGCCCAGGGAGAAAAGATTAAAGATGCCCATGTTTGACTTAAACGAATACTATAAGATATAATGATATAAATTACTATAACTAAACACTTAGAAATATATTTAAAATACATATATACTATAAGATATAATGATATAAATTACTATAGCTAAACACTTAGAAATATATTTAAAATACATATATATTTCCATGATAAACCCAAAACAAGGAATAGGGTCACAGACTAAAATGCCAATAAATAGAAAGCTTAAATTAAACACATTTATCCTATGATGATATAAATTGATAAATCAAAACATTTAGAAGCTTCAGTTTAGTGCCTCTACATTAGAAACAATGAATTAAATCTATAAACAAATATGAAAATACATTGACTTACTAGTTTCTCACATCCAATCAGGTTTTAGATAGTAGCAGATACTTTATAGACGATCACGCTACATAAAAAAACTTAGTGCTGATAAAAAAAACTTATGTTCATTCATTTTATAATCAAACTTACTAAACAAAAGATCAGGACCGATCCGTTGATGTTAAGAGCCCTATACCGAGAATAGAAAAAAGGGCCCTTAAATATAAGAAAATCAGTTAAAGAAAATAATTATAAAGAAAATATAGAATTGAAGGTAACAAGATTCGAATACAATAAGACACCACTATCAACCAAGAGAACAACTGATGCTGATAGTTTGTTATTTATCTATGTAAATGTATATAATAAAGTGGTGGAGCATGGAGTCGATCCCAGGTGGATTTAAAACAATTAAACTAAGGCACGTAACCAACCAAATGAACTACAAGTACCTCAAATATATCAGAACGTAAAATAAAATATATATAATCAAAATTGAAAGTCCCAAAGTGTCCTAAATTGAAAAATAAATAAATAAAATATAAAATATAAAATACACAATTAAAATTTAGGATTTATTGAGAGATCGTAGTTTGTAGACCAAAAAATGTAGAGGACGCAGCAAAACCACAACTTCCAAGCCAAAGGGAAATTGGGCAAACTTGCAAAGAAATAAATTTAATGCCGTGGTTTTTAACTTTTTATTTAATATACACACGAGAAGAGACGCAAGTTCAATTTAAAAATAAACATGCCCATAACATATTATTAGAAACTCATGCAAGTAACGAAATTAATCAACTTCCACCAAATGAAGACGATAAGCATTCTGTAATTCCATAAATTTAAAAATGAAAAACAAAAGTTTAAGGAAATTGTGTACGTACCCAGCCACATGAGGATCATAACTTCCTTTAAGACCAAATCCGATAACACCTCTTGGAGAATTATCCTTCTGAAACATCCTCCCGTGTCTGAAACTATCTCTATCTCTGAGTTGACTCAACTCAATTCTGTGGTTCATCGGAAAAGCTCTTTCTAGAGTGAGAGTGAGAGTGGCCGGAAACCCAGAAGCCACATGCAGAAACATAATGGCGCCTAGTAGTGTTGAAGTAACAGCATTTCTGAGAGTAATATAAACGATTGACATTCTTTCTCTCCTCTTTCTATTCTTCACTCGGACAAAACTTTTTAAAATAAGTTACAAATGTGAGCCCTAATAAGTTGATTAACTTAGAGGATTAGTACAACATCATAGTTTTGTTGCTGGTTATATAGAAGTAAAGACGTAGCATAAAGTAACTCAAATAATAACACTTTAAACAAAAGCTATTTCTCCATCTTTTTTATCATTTAGTTCACTTTTTTTGATACATCTCCCTTACAATATTTACTAAAAACGTAAGTAGTTACATTTGATAAAAATATAACACCTATGTCTATATTAACGAAATTCTTAAGAATGAAGAAAACTTAAGTACCAAGGATGCTAACGTATGCTTATTAGTTAGTCATGACATATTGCTCATATCTGTGTTTAATTTAGGGCAAAACCATAAAAAGCGTTATAGTTTCGTCGTAATCCGTTTTAAGCACCTATTTTATTTTGTTCTAGAAATAATGCTTATGATTGCAAAAAAGTAAATAAATAATAATAAATACTACCAAACTAACGTCACAATCACTAAAGCCACCAAAATTTAACATATTTTGCAAGCACATATTATTTTTTTTAATAGAAAATAAATTGTGATGATTGAATCGAGTTTTCATCCAACTATAATGGTTATAAATGATTTTTTTAATTTAACTTAAAATTAAACAAAACAAAAGTTATTGAGACATGAGAAACTACTTACCAAGAAGACATGAAATTAAATTTATTTATATAAAAAAAATTATAGAGAAAATAAATTCTAGGTAATTCAACTTTAAGGTTTGATGTAGAAGAAAAAGATGCACATCATGGAATCGAAACACCGGCCATTTTGGGAAATCAGTAAAAGCTAACCAACCAATTTAAATGAGAATTTGAATATTCTTTCAAGACTAAATTTACATATAAACCGGATAAAACTATATGTAGAATTTCTTTTTGACGTTGGAGTGATTCAGGATTTTTATTAAAAAAATGTACAAAGTGTTACGTTGTCGAGGTTGAAATAGGCGTTGTTGGTGCTGGAAAAATAAGTAAGAACAATTGAAAAGTTTTCCACTACGAACAAGGTAGGTATTGCCGGTGCCACTATGGGCATCCATACAAAACCGCCACTGATGTTGACGACACCATAGACCAACCGGAAAAACGTTCACAATAATTAAGAGCATCGCAACGATGCGATTATAAAGGGATGGTTACCATGGGGATGGAGAAATAGATAAGCCGTTTTGAAAGGAAAGTGTTATGCACACTTACGAACTGTAGCGAACACTAACGATAATAAGGCAAGAAAACTTTTTTCTGTTGGCTTATTTTACGAAGATGAGAAGGATTTGGGATGAAAATCAACCGAAACCCATGAGCATAAAAAACGGAGATAGTATTCTGGTGCAGTGAGTTGGAAAAGCATGTTTACCAAACAGTATTTACTAACATTTTATATATTCTTGATTTTGGATGCCATTTTTTTTTACCAATTAAAAAGTTTACCAAGAGTTTTAAGTGTTTTTTGACAGTATTTTTAGATTTTTGTTGTATACACATGATAGTTTGTTTTATTTACGTCTTTTTTGTGGTTTTTTTTAGCATTATTAGCCTTTCTATTGTTATTGCATTGCATATTCTATCATTTATTTATCATGGATCGTATTGAGTGCTTTCTCTTTTGTATAAGGTGTTTTATAGTTTTTGGAGTCTCGTTGCGCTTGTGGATTATCTGTTATGGGCATGTATCTGAGATGTAAGGTAGATATCCCGTATAACCCTACTGTAGAAACCTCCTTGCCATCGCAGTCGAAGAAAGAGTTGGCCCCTGAGAGGCTCTCTCACCATGTATCACCAGTTCTCCCCCACTAAGGGTTCGAACCCTCAGCAACTGACGCTCGCAATTAATCATGGCCCCATTGGCCCCTAACCAGTCCATCCAACAACCACCTTCAATCCTCGCAACGGTATAGGGACTAAATCAACGTGAAACCTCTCGCCAAGCACATTCAGGACACATTCCCGATACACCCTCGCAACAGTCATAGTGCGGTCATCTGCAATCTCTACCTCGAGCAGGGATTCTAGAGCTCCTGGCGTGTCCCAGAACTTCTTGCTAAGTGCAAGAGACACGAAAGATCGGGTAGCACCCGAATCAAACAAAACGTGCGCCGACATACCATTAACCATAAAGGTCCTCATACGAGCACAATGCATATAAAATAAGCACTACAGATATACGTAAAGCAAAGAAGAATGAACATGTACCAGCCACAACGTCTGGCACAGCCCGAGCCTCCTCGGTAGTCAGCTGAAATGCACAGCTCTTCACTGCTGGAGCTTCCGCCTTAACAGGGCGGCCATCGGTAATCCTCATAGTGGCAGGCGCGGGCGCTGCCACTGCTCCTCCCCCTCCCTACAACCTTGGAAAATCGGCCTTTTATGGTTATTTTGGTTGCAGTGGAAACATACCAAGCCCTTCTTAGGGCAATCCTTGCTCACGTGGCCCTACTGACCACAAGAGTAACATCCCGGTATCCCAGTTGATATTATATCACATAAAAATGAATTGATCTAAAAGATGATACCATAAAAACCCTTCAGGAATTTACAATTTTACAACTTTATTGATTTTTGGTGTGGTAATGCAAGAAACCTGCAGATTATTTTTTTTTATATTTATTTTCATTTGTAGCAATTTGTAGGTAAACCCGATCACCATCCGATCATTACTTTACATTGCGCGCCATGTAGGCCATCAGTTAGACTTTTTGCTAGTCCGCATGATTTTCTCTTTATCCAAAAAATCGAACCAAAGGAAGCCAAAATGTGTATATACACACAAATCAACCTTCGGACATTCCCCATACATGCCAAGTGGCTTTTCCATTAAGCCACAAGGAGCATTTGTTCACTACTCCTTCCCATTAATTATGAAAATATGTATTTTTTTTCATATTATTCATATAATAAATAAGTATTATTATGTATAATATATTAATTTATGTAAAAATCAACACTAAATACATATTATTCATATATATTATATAAATATCTATTTTTTTTTATTATTCACTAGTTGTGAGACTTGTATGTTATACGGGTTGGATAAAATATATATATATATATATATATATATATATATATATATATATATATATATATATATATATATATATATATGAAGGTTTAAACAAAAATTTATTTAAATTTGAAATTTAAAATTTAAAATTTGAATTTAAAAGGAAATATATTAAATATTATATGAGTTGTAATATTGTAATTTAATTGTTATTTTCAATTAAGGTAATTATTAATTAAGGTGTAAATATGATGTGTTAATTAAGAAATATAAAAAAAATGAGAAAATGACAAATGGAAAAAATATTTATTTAAAAATACTACAAAAATGAAAAGTGTCAAAACTCATGAAAGATTGACATGTCGCATAAAAAACCTTCATTTATTAAGAATGATTTACCAAACACATTTTTTTTTATTATTCATTTACTAGGTGTGAGACCCGCATGTTATACGGGTATGATAAAAAAATTTAAACACAAAAGTTTAAATAAAATTTTATTTAAATTTAAAATTTTAGATTTGAAATTTAAAATTTAAAATTTAAATTTAAAAGGAAACATATTAAATACTATATAAATACTATAATTATAATTTATTGGTTATTTTCAATTAAGCAATTATTAATTGTGATGTAAATATGATGTGTTAATTAAGAAAATATAAAAAAATGAAAAAATGACAAATGGAAAAAATAATTAATCAAAAATACCAAAAAATGACATGTGTTTAAGTTAATGAGAGAGTGTCATGTGTCAAAATTATTTTCATTTATTAGGGAAGATTATTAGAGAGGATTAAGCACATTTTTTTATTATTATTCATTTAAATTATGTATAAATGTATTTGTATATGTAAAAATTCACCCCAAAAACGGTTTTATAAATACTACTATTGTTATTTCATTACGTATGATTAGTGTAACATTTTTGAATTATTCACTCGAGAACATCCAAATATATGGTATACATCTACCACCATAATGGATATACACTTGAAGATGAATGCATCTCAAACTATGTATTAAAAAGTGTGGATACATACTTTGGAGTTGTTAAACAAAATATGTTTTTTAGAAATATAATTGTGTTTAATTAAAGTAGAGATATATTCAACAATAACCTATTTAAAAAGTATGTATAATTGTGTTTAATTAAGTTTTTTTTTCATATTATTCATGTAAGCTTTTACATATATTAATACGTCTATACATAATTTGCATGAAAAAAAAAAAAAAAAAAAAAAAAAAAAAAAACTTACATGAATAATATGAAAAAAAAAAAAAACTTAAGTATTTTTATACATGATAATGTATATTATATGAAAAGGTAGGTATTTGTAATAGATTATATATTAATCTAAAGGAATAATGAACAGTCGTTCCTTGCGGTTTAATGAAAAAAAATTTGTGCATGTATGACGATGACCTGGAGTTCGATTCTTGATATATACATTTCTAGCTCCAATTTGGTTTGATTTTTTGGAGCTGACTCGGTGCGTACATGGCATTGCCATGCAAGGTTGTTACCGGATGGTGGCCAGTACCAGCAAAATTCCGCAAATGAAAATAAGTATACAAGTTTCACGCACTAGCACACTAAATAAAAAAAGGTCAAATCGCCAAACTTAAAAGTTTTTATAGCATTATCCCTTGAATTAACACCACAATAAGTTGGCTACATGCCTACAATAGCGATTAGCCTAGAGACTAAACAAACATCAGAAAAAAAAAAAAAAAAAAAAAAAAATTGTAACAAAGTTTACATTTTCATATATGTTAGATAATAGACTAATTAATTTTCAAAAGACAATTACATAAGAATATATAGAGAATACATAAAACTTAATGGCAAAACCCTAAAGGGTTTGGCCTAAACCCTAATCAGTAACATCCGCCCGCAGCTTGATCAGGTGAAGATGATTAAACTGGAAGAAAAAATAAAAGAAGAAAACATAAAAACTAGATGAAGATTGCGACATCGGCAGTGGTAGAGCTGTAAAAATTGCAGCTAACATCGACTGCTCGTCAAAGAAGAAGCGGCAGCCATAGACAATTCCACTGTAGAAAAATAGAAGATTGGCGGCAACGACGATGATCATGCAACCAACGATAGAGGAGTTCGCAGAAAGGCAACGACAAAAAAGAGGGCTCTAGCTGCGACGGACGGAGCCAATTCCGGCGAGATCGGCAACTGCAATTTTGATGAAGAAAGAAATGACTACTAATCAGAGGTTGTCCCGCAGAGAAGGTGCAATCGAGGGAGGCACAGACAACATCAAAAGGGGTTGAATTGGAAAAGAGATCTGAAGAAATAGCCAACCAATGAGGAGGCATAAGGCTTAGGGACAGGGGTCATCTAAGGAGGAGGTAGAAGTAGATGATGTAATGGAACAAACCGATGAAAGAGCTCTAATTTGGTGCCGGTAGCTAGGGGTGGCATGATGCGGTTCGGTGAGGTTTTTGGCCAAAACCGAACCGAAAAACGCAACTTCGGTTTTTTGAAATTTAGAAACCGCACCGTTCGGTTTTTATGCGGTTCGGTTTTTGTGGTTTTTATTGCAGTTTTTTGTGGTTTGGTTTTTCTATTATGGTTTTTTGTTAGTTTTTTTTTTTTGGGGTTTTTATTTTGCCTTTTTACTAAAACTCACGTAACTTTGTGAGTTACTTTGACTTAGATGAGGAGTGTTAATCATTTTTTGGAGATGAACTGATACCACCACCTATTGGTTTGAAATCAAATTACATAACCACTCATCCAACATGTTTCTAATGCTTGAACATAATACGAATTAATATAACATTTGTTTCACATGTACATGCAATAATATCAATTAATGTATTCATAAAAATGATACTGTCATCACTACTAGTACTCTTCACATTTAAATGTTAAAAAATGTCATAACCATTGTTTGTTATTGTAAATACCACTGATTGTATGCTTAAATATATAAAATCATCTTCCGATAGATAAGATAGATATTTATATTTATAAAAATTTTAATTGTCATAAGTTCTTGGTTCTTACAAATATCAACACTTTATATATATATATATATATATATATATATATATATATATATATATATATATGTGTGTGTGTGCGGTGGGATTCGGTTTTTTATGTTTTTTGCGAGATTAGAAACCGCACCGCACCGAGTATTTTCGGTTTTTGCAAAACTAAAAACCGTACCATCGGTTTTCATTTCGGTTTCGGTTTATGCGGTTTTTTCAGTTTTTTTGTTTGCGGTTCGGTTTTTGCTCACCTCTACTGGTAGCTATTTTATTATTTAGGCAGAAAAGTGACAAAAATGAAAAATATAGAACATAATGAAGGCACCTCCGATGACTATTAGAGAAGGTCGAGGTAGAAGGCGGTGACTATGGATTGTGATTAATAGTTAAGTTTTATCCTATAGCTCTGATACCATGTTAGATAATAGATTGATTGATTATCAACAGACAATTACATAATAATATATAGAGACTACCTAAAACCTAATGGCAAAACCCTAAAGGGTTTTAGCCTAAACCCTAAGTTTTACCATTAGGTTTTAGGTATTCTCTATATATTCTTATGTAATTGTCTTTGAGAATTCATCAATCTATTATATAACAATATATTTACATAGCTCAATTGAGAATTTAACATTACCATTTTACTCTACTCTCTTTAAATTGGTGAGATCTGTGTTCCTTATTGTGATTATTGTTGGAAAGTATTTTTAACCCTTGCTAGTTTAAAATAGTTTGCCAATACTTCAACATCTAAAAATATTTGATTGCATAGGGGACCGATGACTATGTTTGTTGTAGCATGCTTTTTTGACTAAGTTGAAAAGTTACCTAAAAAACGTATTTTTCTTTGTGATGCGTGTTAGCTTTTAGTCCTGAATTATAATATTATAGTTAAAAATGAATTCACTGTACAAAATAATAAATTTTCTAATCTTCCAGATTTTCCATTTTATTCATAAAAGAATATAGACGGGAACATTTACAAACATCAACAAAGACATTCTAAGACTTTTTTTTGAAGATTATTTTGTAGCTCTAGCATGTACGGTAAGATTATTTGGAAAAAATATCGATCATTTTTTAAGTTATAATTTCAATATTATTGATATCATTGATTTTTGCAAAACATTCATGATTCATATCTAATTTCCACTCACCCAATACTATTAATTAGATTTTGAAAAATATCTCTCATTCTTTTTAAGTTATAATTTCAATATTATTGATACCATGGATTTTTGCAAAACATTTAAGATTCATATCTTTCTAGTTTTCGTTCACCCAATGTTATTCATATATCCCAATGTTATTCCACTACAAAAATACTAACCATTAGCGGCGATAAAAATCATCGCAATTGATCATCTCTGTCGTCGCTAATAGTATTAGCGACGCCACGTCGTCGCTAATGCATCGCCGCAATTAGCTCGTAGCTAATAGCCCCATGTCATTTTTAATACTGTCGTCTCTAATAATTGTCGTCCCTAACACACCACTGTCGTCTCAAATAGTGTCGTCCCTATTAATATTCCGGCAACCGGTAGGATTTTCCGGCAATACTAGCCGGACGTCCACGTCGTCACAATTGACAGTAGTCGTCTCTAAAGGCATCGCTGCTAATTGTTTTATTTATTTAATTTTTTTTTTTTGAGAAAAACTTATTTTTTATAATATTAATTTATATATATTATAAAATGCTGTTTTGATAAAAATACATATATAAATACATACCACATTATATAAAAACATCAAAAATACCATATTCCATAAACTATTTTCCAAACAAACATCAAACATACCATATCTAATAAATCTTAAACAAACGTTTAATATATATCATACATCAACTATTTTCCAAATCAAAAATAACATCCTCCATATCATAAAACAAGAAATACTAGTTGTCTTCGTCTTCCCCACTGTCCTCCTCATCGTTATTTTCCTCGTTGACTTGGTTTTTAAACGGGCGAATAATGTCTCCAATGGCCGTCACAAATGCCGAGTTTTGAAGAAAAACATTCACATCAACATCCTACAATTAAATCACAAACAAATAAGTTATGAACAATTCAACAAACTATCAAACTATCAAAACACCAAATCAATTAAGTCTATAACAATTTAAGAAACTACCGAGCTACCAAAAATTACTACAAATACATTAAGTTCTTAACAATATAACAAAGCAACCAAATTTTTTAAGAATTTAACAAGTACCTGTGTTGGTTGCGATGCTTGTGACTGTGACTGTCATTGGGATGAAACACTTGTACCCGCAGCTGAAGAAGCTTTAGGCCCAATGCCTCTCACATGTCCCCTTCGAGTACCCAACACCTTCTAAAATATTGCGATCCAATCAATGGTGTCTGGATCACCACCAGAGTCGGCTATATGATGAGTCTGTAGAGCAACCTCAGCAACTAAGGCATCCTGTATTTCACAAAGATTGTTAATATACGTTAAAACTAACAAAAAAAATTCAACAATCTATTTCATTTTTAAGTAGTAATAACTTACATATTGCTCTTCAACCAATGGATCAACAAATTCCCCTCTTTTATTTACATGCGTACGATGAAATACTTCTAGTCTATTCAGATTCTGTTTAACATTGCAAAATATACTATATTTGAATAAGCATTAAAAAATATGTTATAACTGAATAAACATTATTGTAACTTACTTTCTTGAAACAAGCACTACCGTAGCTGCACGTCCCTCCACGATTATTCACTACTTGCTTCTTCCGGAATTCTTTGTTTCCAGCGGATCGTTTTCGATGTTTTTCTGTTAAGAAACGGTCAATAGTAGCATTCCAACGCTGCTGATCCATACCCTAGGGGCTTGAGCCCTTACTGCCTCCACATTCCCTGCAAAATCATCAAAACGGTTTTTTGCAATATTTTTGCGGCCTCTATACCGTGCACATATCCGATTGTTCAATGATGCCCAATAATTTGAAGCCATGGGATGATTTGTAATCATGTCAAAATCAAACCATCTCTACAAAAAAAAAATAGAGAAATTAAAAATAAATCAAAATTAAAAATATTAAATATATAACTTTATAAATAATTTACCGAAAGATACTGCAACATTCCAACCCTTTCGGCTTCAGAAACCTTTGTCCATGTGTCTTTATCAAAACCGATGTCCCGCCACATATAGCTCCCAACCTCCCGAATAAAACATTCGTACACCTCCCCAATCAGCATGATAGTATTTACATCAAATACTATCTTAAGAGGCCGTTCACCGTTAGCTTTATAGAGTTTGTGATTTTTTTTATTTACCGTCATGCCTCTTCGTTTCGGAAGCACCACTGCATAAAAAAATATTAGTCAAGATAATTTTTTATATACATACAATGTGAAATACAATGAATTAGAATAAATTATAATTACCATCGTTTTGGTGATCACCAAAACCCCCACCGAACGGATGTGGTGGCTCGTCACCACCGTCGCCTCCATGACCCATCACAGCAACCATGAGATGGAGCAATGCAATAAAAAAAAATGACATCCTGAAAAATTATAACACAATATATATATATATATATATATATATATATATATATATATATATATATATATATATATATATATATATATATATATATATGACTACAACAAATACAAACTTTATTTTACTAATTACATGTAAAAAGATTTTTTTTAATCATTCTCGCCCCCAGACACTTCAGTGTCTACCGATACATGACTATCATCATCAGAATCTTCCTCATCATAATCAGTCTCGCAATTAGACACATTATTGATGATACTCGTCGGTGGGTCAACTTCAATATCATCTTCAACCGATTGAGAATTTTGAAAGTACTGGCTAAAGTCAATTGAGAGAGTCAAATTAGAAGAAGCATTACTAAAAACGACATCGGTTGAATCATTGTCGACATTTTCAATGGGATCATGATCAACATCATTCATCGGTAGATCCCAAATTCTTCTATAACTAACATTTTCAACAACCCACCGTTGGGTGTCATTTTCGTCATTTGGAGAAGGTTCTTGGATGTAAAATACTTGCTTGGCCTGCGTAGCAAATATGAGTTGATCTTCGCTGCTCAATTCGCGTTGTGGGTCGATACTGGTGAAATTATTATCAGATTTAACTCCTGCAGTATCGAACCACTTGCAACGAAAAAGTACGGTGGAATATTTATGAGGATAATGCAACTCGATAATCTCTTCTAGCTGACCATAATATTTCTGCTTATGCTCACCCTCAGTTAGAACCCCCGAGTTTTGTGTTGATCGTTGGGCGTCACGCATAAGTACCATATACCTAACACCATTCACTATGCAAGCGGTGTAAGTAAAGGCATGCGCACGCACACCGATTGAAAGAGCCGATAACTCCTTATTAAACTCTGGAGAATTTTGTTTTTGCATATCATAGACCTTATGAAGGAATCATTTAGGAATTCGATTTTTTCATCACTTTCAGGATGTAATGATTTGAATTCACTACATTGATGAATATATATATATATATATATATATATATATATATATATATATATATATATATATATATAGATAAGAAGTTTATTATCTATATATAGATCCGGTAAGAAATTTTTTTTGGTAGGAAGATAAGAAGTTTATTTTCTACATATTTGTTTGACGAACAAAATAAATGAATCACTAGATGATTCATTTGTAAAATGATCACAAGAAAAAATTCCCAAAAAAACATATTTATGATTCATTTTTAAGTAAATTAAGAAACAATTCATTTTTATGATAATTTTAGTGAATAACAACAAATTCATTGTATAAATGAATCATCGAGATGTTTTTTTGAGAATTTTTTCTCTTGAATCATCTTACAAATGAATCATCTAATGATTTATTTTGTTTGTTCGCGAAAAAAATATGTAGAAAAAAAAAACTTTTTACCTTCCTACAAAATATATATATATATATATATATATATATATATATATATATATATGTATATATATAGTCAAAATGCGAAATTAAAAAAAGGCAATGAATTAAAAGATAAGAACACTTATGCAATATACGTTATGATTTCCTCACAATTATCAAGCACAAACCAATGTAGATGTTTTCTCTCCTCTAGACTGAGATTTTTCATTTTCCTTCCACTAGTCGGTCGACACTTAGACTGAAACACCCATAAATTTGTTTCTTTTATGATAACATCCTCGTTTCTTTTAAGGCGATTGAATCAAGTCTCAACATCTTTAAGGTACATCGAACAAAATGATAATGCCTCTTCAGCGACATAACCCTCAGCTATAGAACCTTTCGGCCTCGCCTTGTTTCTGACATAGTTTTTTAGTTTTTTCATATACCTTTCAAAGGGATACATTCATCTCATACATACTGGGCCTCCAGAAATAGCTTCATCAGGTAAATGCAAAACTAAATGAACTATAATGTCAAAAAACGCAGGAGGGTAGATCACTTCTAATTTGCACAATATTTTAATAATGGTTGGTTTCGCTTCTTTCATATCCTTCACCGACAATGTTCTTGAGCAAAGTTGCTTAAGAAACATACAAAGCTCTATTATTGGTGTAAAAACACCTTTCCCCAAAACCCCTTTAACTCCAATGGGTAACAAACGTTGCATAAGAATGTGATAATCATGAGATTTCAACCCAATAATGTTAGTATTGGTTTCATTGACTTTGTTACCGATGTTAGATCCAAACCCATCTAGCAGTTTCACATTTCTTATAAACTTACAAAAACGAATGCGGTCAGGTTTCGTGAAGGAGTAAGGTGGATGGGGTTTATGGAACTTGTTTCCATTCTTTTTCAACCATAGATTTTTCCGAATGTTCAGTTTTGTCAAGTCCGCCCGAGCATTTGATGTGTCTTTAGACTTATCATTCATCAGAGAAGTACCCACAAGACTCTCACCCACATTTTTTTCAACATGCATAAGATCGAAGTTGTGCTTCAGCTCCAGAGAAGACCAATACTCAAGTTCAAAGAATATGCTCTTTTTGGACCAATTCGACTCGAAATCCTCACGATCTCTCTTAATACCAGCTCGTTGAGCATCTACTTTACACGGTGGACGAAACAATGGACGAGCGTGTTGCGCTTGTATTTCTTCCTCACTAAACGTTCTTGGAGGACCTCTTGTCTCATGTTATCCATTATAGTCCAAACTTTTTCTCCATGGATGGTCAGCATCTAAGAACCAACGATGACCTATATATACGACTTTATTTGATACTCGGTATGACGGGGTGTCTTCGTTGCAAGTCGGACAAGCTTTGTACCCTTGTCCGCGCCAACCGGATAAACTACTACGAGCAGGAAAGTCGTTTATTGTCCATAACAACATCGATTTCATATTGAAGAATGTATTTGCCGCTGCATCTTTAGTACGTACCCCGAAACTCCATAACTGCTTCAACTCATCCACCAACGGCCTAAGGAACACATCCAAGTCCTTCCCGGGTCCTTTGGGGCCGGGAATCAACAAGGTCAACATGAAAGATGACTCTTTCATGCATAGCCATGGTGGAAGATTGTAAGTGGTGAGTATGACAGGCCACGTGCTGTGAGGATTACACATGTTACCAAACGTATTAAAACCATCAGCAGCAAGCCCTAAGCGTACGTTTCGGGGTTCCCTCGAGAAGTCAGGATACTTCATATCAAATTTTTTCCATGAAGTACCATCAACGGGATGAATAATCGTACCATCTTTGTATTGTCCGGTACTATGCCAAATCATATCTTTAGTTGTGTGTCTTGAATAGTACAAACGTTGTAGTCTGGGGGTCACGGGAAAGTATCGTAAAACCTTATGAGCCACCTTCTTACCCTTTGTATTTTCATCAACCCAACGACTCTCATTACAAACTGGACATTTTTGCAACAACTCGTGTATTGACTTATAACCTAAGCCGATCTTTTTAAGTGTCTTTTTTGCTTCATAATGTGACGGGGGGGGGGGGGGGGACCCTGTTTCCTTCAGGAAATGCAGTTTGCAACAACTCAAGAAGCTGATCGAATGAACTATCAGTCCATTTGTTGATCAGCTTGATATGCACCAGCTTTGCTAAAAAGTCAAGGGATGAAAACGAACATCGAGGATATAATTTGAATTGGAGTTCCTCTAACAACTTTTGAAATCCAACATCAACACCTCTACCGTCTGTATCTAGGTTCCCTTCATTGCAGTTGGTATCGTTTTCAATCACACCTCCCATAACATCATCAATAACATCGACCATCTCGTTACTACGCGGTGTGTCTTCGACAACCGGGTGAGTTGTATTTTCTCCGTGATACTTCCATATAATATAATGTGGACTAAAACCATGTTGAAGTATATGGAATTTCATTATGGCTAGTAGTATAAATTTATTGACATTGCATTTGTTACACGGGCATCTAATTTGACCTTTGTTATCGACATGTGGTTTGGACCTCTCGAGAAAAGATTCAAGTCCTTGTTGGAACAAGGTAGACTTACGGTTTTCAATAGTAGTCCACGTTTTATCAATAGACATGTTGCAACTGAAAAATAAGTTAGGTTTTAGTGTTTACTCTACAAGAAGTAGACCTTGGATTGAATATTTATAAGGATAGAGTAACCGCTCAATCAGATGGAATAGAAAACCAGACAACAGGAGAGTATTCACAAGGGTAGGTTTCTTAAACAATCAATCATGTAATACACATATATCGAGAAGCAAAGAGAAAATAACAACCGAATATTTCTTAAATTTGTTTTTTTTATTATATCATGATACTTTAAACGATAGTAGATTTAGCGTAGCGTTTTAATTTTTAATTTTTTTTATTATTAAATTTTACTTTAAACGATATTATATATTTGTTATTTATTTAATTAGTTTATTATGGTTTATTATTATTCTTCTTCTTTTTTCTTTTTAAAACCTTTTTGACCAATTTTAATTTATCAATTTATTTTTGTTTTTATTTTTTTGTTTTGATTAATTATAACTTAATAGATTTAGCGTAACGTTTTAATTTTTAATTTTTTTATCATTAAATTTTACTTTAAACGATATTATCTATTTGCTATTTATTTAATTAGTTTATTATGGTTTATTATTATTCTTCTTCTTTTTCTTTTTAAAACTTTTTTGACCAATTTTGATTTATCAATTTATTTTTGTTTTTATTTTTCTATTTTGATTAATTATAACTTAGTAGATTTAGCGTAGAGTTTTAATTTTTAATTTTGTTTTATTACTAAGTTTTACTTTAAACGATATTATATATTTGTTATTTATTTAATTAGTTTATTATGGTTTATTATTATTCTTCTTCTTTTTATTTTTAAAACCTTTATGATCAATTTTGATTTATCAATTTATTTTTCTTTTTATTTTTCTATTTTGAATAATTATAACTTAGTAGATTTAGCATTTTAATTTTTAATTTTTTTTTTATTACAAAATTTTACTTTAAACGATATTATATATTTGTTATTTATTTAATTGATTTGTTATGGTTTATTTCTTTTTCTTTTAAAAACCTTTTTGACCAATGTTTCTTCATTAGCTTATAGAAAACAAATTATCTATTATGATGTATTTATTTTACATACATATCCGCACATATACATACATATACATTTTTAAATATATATACAAACATATACACACATTTTTACATACATATCCACACATATACATACATATTTATATAAATATACACATATACATATACATTTCACATACAAATACATACATTCCATCTATATACATGCATACATACATTTTAACATAGATATTTTCATATATCTACACCCATATACATAGATTTTTCACATATACATACATTTCACATACAAATACTCTTATACGTATATTTTTTCATACATACACATACATTTCATATACAAATACATATATATACATATATATTTCACATGCAAATACTCATATACACACATTTTTTCATACATAGTCATACATTTCATATACAAATACACATATACATATACATTTCACATATAAAGCCCAACATTTCTTATTTAAAAAACATAAAAAAAAAAAAAACATACCTGGAAATTGAAAATCGATTAGGTGGTGGTGCGGTGGTCAAGATCGCCGGAGTAGATGTGGTATCACCAGAGAAGAGGTGGTGTCACCCGAGATGTTGCTGTGAAACCACCAAAATCACACCAAAATCCAAAATTAACACACAAATTCGTTTTAGAAAAGAAATTGAAAGAGAAAGGAGGGAAGGGAGCACCTACTGTTGCTGTAAATGCTGGAAAATCGGAGTGTTGTCGCCGGAAAATGTATCACTGCAGCCTGGGCCAAAAGTGTGTGTGTGTGTGGGGAGAGAGAGAGAGAGAGAGAGAGAGAGAGAGAGAGAGGAGTGAAGAGGAAAGGAGAAAGGAGAAGCTTTGTGGTGGTGGTCGCCTAAGAAATCGAGAGGATCGGAGTATTTGCACTGGAAAATCGTCGGAAAATCGTCGGAAGGTAAACACGATGGAGGTTTAGTGTTGTTATCGCCTGTTTTGAAACACGATCGGAAGCTAAATATGATGGAGCCTTTAGCGACGATGCAATTTGCGGCGACAAGACGGCAATTGGGGTGACAAGTTGGAGGGAAGATATCCCACTTTTTTTTTTTGGTGACTAGTAGCGACGACGACGTCGTCTCTATTAACGTCGTCGTTATTACCTTGGTACGGAGAAACCATATCCGTTGGATCATATCAAAAACGAACGACCACGATTCACTCTGGGGAAGTCACACGGATCGCCGACGTGGACTATTAGAGGCGACCCTTTAGCGGCGACTCCAATCTTTTAGCGACGACACAAAGGCGCCAGGTCGCATGTCGTCCCTAATACTCCCTGTCGTTTCTAATAGCGTCGCCCCTAATACCTATATTTCTTGTTGTGTTCATATATTGTATCCCTTTGAGACGGAACTATGTTTCATTAGTGTTCATATTAGTTGCTATTATGGATGGAAACTATGAGTTCATGCCTATAATGTTTGGTCTTGGTGTCACACAGATTGTCCATTCTTGTTCTTAGTTCCTGGTGAGGCTCAACAAATGTCTTAGGGACGTTAGGTAAGTTGCCTTCATAAACAAAGGGTCGTGATATCTCCACTGGAGTAATTTATTCATCCACTTGATATCATATTATTTTGAGATTTTTCCCTTCTTTTTAATTTTCAAAAATATGAAAAAATTGAAAATATACCAAACGTCGTTTTCTTCATTAACCCTAGTCGTCATACAAGAAACTCCGATCACTTCTTCCAAGTCGCCGACCCTCCTTCGTAATCGGTCCCCGTTCTGAATCGATCCCTATATACACCTTCAATAAAACCAAGACCCATCCCCAATCGATGCTCCAACTATGTGTGCAGGTCTCTATCCCAATCTCTGCTTCGTTTCTGGATGGCGTGAATGGACTGAATCCGAAATCATCTATACCCAAATCTTAACTAAACTTTCTTTTAGCCTTTTTTAAATCAGCAAATTTGAATACTTTCAGACTTGTAATAACACTGTGAAAGCACCAACAATTCTACTGTTAGCATTGTTATTATCTGATAGCTTTGAATCACCAGAGGCTGAAATGGATAAATACAAATTGATTATATATAATCACTGTAGTATCTCTTATATATAAGATGTGATTTCGTTCATATTCATTTCGATCAAACAAACATACATGTACGGTGATTATCATAAAAATAAAGGGGGTTGTACATGGTGATTTGGTTGCTTGTTGCAGGTGTGATGGTGTTGGTGAAGGTGAAGCCAATGAAGAGGGAGCATGGGTGGCAATGATGATGGTAATGGCTTGAAGTGGAATTGTGATGATTGTTCATGTGTATGATGAAAGTTATGTTCAACTGGGTCGATCAAGAAGACGATGGAGGTTGCGTGGGAATGGCGTGTGGCGTGAGATGATTGTATTGGTGATGACAGTATTCTTGGGAGAAGATGATGAACTTATCGCCGGCTATCAGCTGTTGGTTGATGGTGGCTGGATGTGAATGATGGCATGTTGGATGGGGTGACGGGTGTTTGATGGCAATTGGTGGAATGTAGAAGATGATTGGATGAAAGAGTGAACGAGAAATAGGGTCGTGCATATCTCAATGTTAGAACAGGGGGTTACAATGGTGGCTGTGATGGTGTTTTCCGGCGAAGATAAGGAGCAAATATAACCCATTTATCTCTTTCACATTAAATTAGCAATAAGGGCAAAAATATCATAACATTATAATTTTAAGTGGACACATAAAATAAAAAAGTGGAAGTATCAACTCCCATAAACAAAATATCTTCTTTCATAGATATTTCTCACTTATGTATTCCCAAATTTCTAAAGAGGGTATTATTATAAAAATTTTATAAGAATTTTTGTACTAGGCTTGGGCGAAGTGTCATAGTGGAATGTTTGTTTAAGCAGACATGCAAATCCAATACAATGTTTGATTTTGACGTAAAATTAGGTAGACATTATTGTGCAATAAAGAATTCTAGAAGAGGAAGTATATGAGTCCGGCTTGACAATATTGGACACGTAAAATGGGTAAAGGCTTTATTCCCTAAAGCCCGTTTGAATATAATGGATATTGGTATTCAGGAAGAAATTAAATTATTAACTGCAATTGCATGATAATTAATGATAACTTCGTTCATTGTGGTTGTTTGCCATGTTTTGAAAACCGGATCGGCCGGTTCGACCGGTTCAACCGGGAACTGGTCTCGGATCCGGTTCTTAAATGCTAAAAACCAGTATTCATGTGAACCGGTAAAAACCGGTCCGGTTGAACTGGTAAAACCAGCCAAAACCGGAAATTTTAAAAAATATATATTTTTTTTATTTTTTGTATTTTTTATATAATTAAATATAATTATGACATCATACGATTTTTCCGGTTTTTGAGACCGGTCTGATCGGTTGGACCACCTAAACCATCGAACCGGTAAGATGACCAGTTCGATCTCCGGTCCGAGTTTCAAAACGTTGGTTGTTTGTGAGACCATACAACGCATGTATGCTCAACACAATGACCATGGAGGTATATATATATATATATATATATATATATATATATATATATATATATATATATATATATATATATATATATATATATATATATATATATATATATATATATATATAGGTTTTAGGATCTATGGAAAACAAAAAATCCTAAAACATCAAAATACATAAAAAAAAAAAAAAATATTTAGATATCACAAATTTTTTTTTTGACTTTATAATGAAAAAAATCGCAGATTATTCTTTAAATTCGCTGAAAAAAATTTTGAAAAAAAATCGATTGTTTTTTCATCAGAGAATTTAAAGAAAAACTTGCGATTTTTTCATATATATATATATATATATATATATATATATATATATATATATACACACACACACACACACACTAGCAATTGGCCCGCGCAAAGCGATGGCAAAAGATTAGTTTGTTATTAAAGAACATATTCCAAAAAACAGTTACCACATTAGTCAATCGAATATGAAAATTTTTGAACTTTCGCGTTTTATTGGACATGTGTTCTAAGTCTATTGATTGTCTTTGTGCTTGTTCGGTATATATTTTCTTACATTGGATTCGTTATACCAAAAACAGATAATATAGAACTACATTTTCATCTGGTATGATACCAGGAAAAGTGTCATTGGTGAATATTTTTTTTTTCGGTGACATTTCACATTCCAAATAATAAAAATAATTGTTATTATCATTTATATTATTTTTTGGTTAATATAATTTTTATACAAGACACTTTTAAATAAGAAACTAAATAAAAAGAAAGTATAAAACAACCAATATATTCTTGCTTTTAATCTTAAATAATAATAATAATAATAATAATAATAATAATAATAATAATAATAATAATAATAATAATAATAAATTGTTAAAAGAAAATGAAAAAAAAAAGATTAAGTTAGGGCCGTTTGATAGTTGTTGATTGAGAAAGTGTTGATTGAAAAAGGTCTGTCTGTAATAAGTTCTGACTAAGTAAAAAACTATGTTATTTGATTATAAATCTAACTGAATGTGCTGACTGATGTAAAATGACCATTTTACCCTGATGTGCTTTATAATAATAATAATAATAATAATAATAATAATAATAATAATAATAATAATAATAATAATGTATACAAAAACTTCCAGCATAATAGACATTAAATATAGTATTTTAGAGATTAAAATATAAAAAACTCTTTAGCTTGCTGGTAAACATCATTATATGTATAGTGAGACTTGAGTTCAATTCTTGTAACCTCTCATTTTACTTGTTTTTATCCAAGGCCAAAGGTATTATTGTAAAGTTTAACTCCTTTCTCAGTCAGACATTTCTTACCGAGTCAGATAGCCAAAGTTGGACAATCAAACACATTTTGCTGTCCGAGTCAGCCAAAAACGTTTGACTTGACTCGGTCAGATGCATATCAAACGGGGCCTTAGTCTTTTTATCCCAAATGACCAAAACTGCTATATATATAAACCACAAGGATACAACCTATTAATTTTTTAACTTAGGGATCAAAACTTATTAACATTTTAACTTAGGGACCAAAAATTGAATCAGACCAACGCTCAAGGATCATTTCTATAATTTACTCTAAAATAAACGGGAAAATAGTTTTGAAAAGTGTATTTGAATGAGTGGCTTTGACGTTTTATTGGGTGTTTTTAAAATCTTTCTGGATAAGATTTCAAAATATAGTTAGTTTAACTTTTAATTATTATTTTAATAAGAGATAATTGTACTTTAAGCATATATATTTGTACAACTTAAAAGTATTATTATTTTATTAATGGTTACTTGTAGTATTAGTTTAACGACTCGAACATTTTAAAAAAATATTATTATTATATTGAATCTATTTTTAGAAATAGTAAAATTTACTTTATAATGTAGTTTATATATATATATATATATATATATATATATATATATATATATATATATATATATATATATATATATATATATATATATATATAACTGTTACTGAAAACTAAGCGATAAATGAAAATAATCAGGGGCGGATCCAAGGGGATCCCGGGATACCCCTCAAATTTTTTTCGGTAGTGTAATTTTTGTTTACGTATCCCTTAAAAAAATCGGTATAGTGTATATATACGCATCCCTCCACTTATAAACATAACAAACAGTTGGTCTGTTGGTAAAGGTGTTGGCTTATTAAAGTAAGGTTTCAAGATCAATTCTTGCTTCTTACATATTCTTTGATTACTCTTTTTTATTTATTTTCCCAGCTATTCTATCCCACATCGTTAAACACATGTAAACTCAACCATTTTTTTCTATTATATAAACATATTATTCTCATGCTTTATTTGATATCTACTTTGAGTCCTACATCGATTCAAATATCAAAATATACTTCAACTTCATGTTTATATAACAAGACTTAAGGTTAGCTAAGAATTCGATTAAGATTTGGGTTTAAAACTGAAACTGAACTGGGGAAACCCAAGCACCCCGGGAAAAAAAATGGGTTACCTTAAAAAAAATTAGGATACCCCTTTACTTTGATCCTGGCTCCGCCACTGAAAATAATGAAAATATTATTACGTAGGAGCCATGTTGGTTGCACTAAACACTTATGCAAAAAAGATGCTTCATAAGAGAATGAAAAAATCTTTAACTTTTTCATTATTATGTAGGAGCCATGTTGGTTGCACTAAACACTTATGCCAAAAAGATTCTTCATAAGAGAAAGAAAAAATCTTTAACATGGGAGGAAACACACATCTGCAACCATATTTTTGGTGTACAAGATTCTACTAGGAGTATTTTAATAGACATTGACTACATTAGTTGTACATGTTGGAAATAGCGAAAAAATGATATACCTTGACAGCATGCAATTGTGGCATGGTGATGGTTAAACGTGATATGTAATAGTCACACAAAGTGTCATATTTATGTGTATTTTACAGTATATCAAGTTGCATACAAAACATGAATATCGCACATCATCTAGCAAATCTAAACGAGGGAGTAATACCAACAAAAGATCATTTACCCCCTACAAGGCTACAATTTAGGAATCAAGTAATGGTTGGATTTTTCATTTGTGTATTTGTTTTTATGAATTCAATTACTATGTTATTTTATATCCAATAGCTTGTAAAATTAAAAAATACATATTAAACTAAAGGGACATACCAATAGCTTAAAAACCAAGAAACATCATCGTCAGTTGTGCTATGGAGGCAATAACAATGATCGGAATTTGTTGGTGACTTCTAATCCACAATGATCTACCACTACTAATCTGACTAGGGTTTACAACTTCACCGCTACTGCTACTTGAGTTGGAGGAGGCTTCTACAATTGAAAAACCTAACCACATATTGAACAACAACATAATTTAATATTTTATTGTCTATGTCTATCAAAATAGAATTTATTCATTTGTTTTACACATAAACTCACAGTCATAGTCTGCCCATCCGATCCGTTGAGCATCCAAATCGCAAACAATAAACTTGTTTTTAAGAACAATGTCCGATCAATAACTGAGTGAAAAAATTAAAAAAAAAAAAACAAAGTCAATTATAGGATTTTTTATGTTCCGTTATTATAATTTATACCTCCTAAAATAGTAATTCCTTTCTTGGGAATCCTCTGAAAGCCCATGCACCACACCTCAGCGCCACAACGCGGCGAGTAGTGTTGTCAATGTAACCACATTTTTTACAATAACATAAATTCTCGCCATTCCTTATCTTTTCTCTTTCTATTCTTCACTCGGAAAAATAATCAAGGTTAATCAACCTGTCTATAAATACTCTTAGGTTAATCAACCTGTCTATAAATACTCTTTCCACGTAGGGATGTTACCTGTAATTTTTAAAATAAGTTACAGAAGCGATCCCTCTTAACTTACAGGTTTAGTACAACGTCATAATTTTGTTTGCGGTTTTATAGAAATAAAGATGACGAAAGTAACTCACATAATAACACTTTAAACAAAAGCTATTGATGTATCTTTTCTATAATTTACTTCACTTTTTATGATGCATCTCCCTTACATGTACTAAAAAGGTAAGTATTTACATTTGCT